TACATAGCAAATGTAATGGTGTATGAACAAAACGTAATACACAAAATGTAACAGGGAATTCTAGGCAAAGGACCTGCTAAGCCTCTCTGGAAAAATGAGGAAAGGCTTTCCAGAAGAGACTGCTCAGATAAATGTTTGTTGAATGAATAAATCTTGAAGAACAGCATTATTTAAATTCATAGTAGCCTTAAAACTCCCTTATTAGAAACACACTAAAAATATATAGCACAAAAGGGAACATGGGCATTTCAGTGAAGATAGTACATAAAGATGCCAACCACACCTCAACAGCCTTCAAAATAGTCTTCATTTTTAAAAAATTTTAAACCAAAAAACAATTACACTTAAAAGGAAGTTCCTTTAAGGCTTCCTGTTTTTTAAATAAAAGTGTTAATGCAGCAGCAGATTAAATAAAAATCTAGACAACAAAAATAAAGGTGTCATTTAACAGCAAACGGCGTAAAAAACCCAGTGGATGACAGAATCCAGATTCTAAGTGAAGGCCAAGGCAGTGAGGGCTGACCAGAACCAGGATGAAGATGATTCTTGACGCTACTGCATTAGCCTTAGTCGGCCTGGGCTGTGGACTAAAATCAACTCACATCTGATCCTAGCGTTGGGGAAAAAAATTCAGTTTCTTTAGTCAAATTCCAGCCAACTAGTGGTATTCAACTAAGTTTTTCACTAAATTATACACACTAATTTGTGATATTTTTTGCTTCAAATGCATAGCTTATGAAAAGTCTGGATTTAGAAATGCAACTTAATGTAAACAAAACTCTTTGATGTCTTGAGTTATCAGAAAGACACAACTCAGAGTTACACTCAAGGTCAAACTTTTAGTAGGAAATAGATTCCCAAAGCAAGGAACAAATGCCTCATACTTGCACTTAGCATTTTGTTTCATATAATGAGTATCTTTATGCAAACGGATTACTAAAATCTCTTTATCTCTAACAACAATACTATAATTTTCCCATAGTATTGTCTCAGTTTCTTTCCTCTAAAACACACTTGAGACCATATGAATTAAAAAACTGCAATTAAAATGATAGGAAACAATCTAAATTTCTACTTGGTAGAGGCCAGTTAAATGCATTCTTGTACATTACACAGAAATAAGACAGAATGAGGAAGGAAGCTCTCTATGTACTGATAGAAAAAGATACCTAAGATGAGGTAAGTGAAAAAAATTAACGTGCAGAATAGCATATATACTAAGCTATTTTGTGATAAAAATAGGAAAAATAAAAACGTGTATCTTTATTTTTTATATGTGCATAAAGAAATTCTAGGGGCCAGCCCCATGGTCAAGTGGTTAAGTTCATGTGCTCTGCTTTGGCAGCCCAGGGTTTCACGCTTCGGATCCGGGGCACAGACCTAGCACTGCTCATCAAGCCATGCTGAGGCAGCGTCCCACGCAGCAGAACCAGAAGCACCTACAACTAGAATATACAACTATGTACTCGGGGGCTTTGGGGAGAAGAAAAAAAAAAGATTGGCAACAGATGTTAGCTCAGGGCCAATCTTTTTTAAAAAATTAAATACAATAAAATGCTTCTTAAAAAAAAAGAAATTCTAGAAGGATATGGAATAAACAGAAGTTATTGGAATACTAGAAGTTATTCAGAAAGGACTAGAGAGATGAGGATAAGGATGGGAAAGGGCATTTTCACTGTAAACCTTCTTATATATTTTTAAAATTTTTAAACCATGTTAACATATTTATGTTTTCAAATATTTAAATAAAAACAATCTGGAAAAACAAGCTATAACTTTAATAACTTTGATTTAATTCTATGTTAAGTAATAATAACTTTCTTACTATCTTTCCTTCCATTCTAATCTTAATTATTTAAAAATTCTAGTTCTCAGGAAACAAATTAATTACCCAGGCCATTATAAGCTAGAAATATAATTTTGCTTAAAGGAAGAATTTATTCTTTCCTCCTTTTCCAACATTTTCATCTAAATTGACAAGGACAACAAGGGTCATCTGTGTAGTGAAATGGAAATACATCTCCCTTGACTTCTGAATGGATATCACAAGCATAAAAATTAATATACATTTTTCACTTAAACTGCTTAAATAGTTATATCCTCCATTGGACTTACTGACTGGCACTACAATTCTACAAATGTTAGAGCATTACAATTTCCAGGTGCGTGTGGTATTTTTCAAAATAACAAAAAAAAATTGCAGACACTTTTTTTTTAAATTGGCCCTGAGCTAACATCTGTTGCCAACCTTTTTTCTTCTTCTTCTTCTTCTTCCCAAGGTCCCCCAGTACATAGCTGTATATTCTAGTTGTAGGTCCTTCCAGTTCTGCCATGTGGGACGCCACCTCAGCATAGCTTGATGAGTTGTGCCATGTCCGCGCCCAGGATCCGAGCCTGCGAAACCCTGGGCTGCCGAAGCGGAGCGTGTGAACTGAACCACTCGGCCATGGGGCTTGGCCCTGCAAACACTTTTCTTATTTAGAAAAGAAATTTAATGAGCCCTCAGTGTCTCCAGGAAAAGTGCCTCAGTAATCCCATCACCGTTACTGGCCCCTCTCTCACCACAGACACTGTGCTCCTACCACAGAGAACTTCTAAAGTTATTTTAGATACGGCATCCTTTCCAGGGCTTTCCGTAGGGTATATCTGTGCCTAACCTCCCCTCCTCCATTCCCAAACCCTTATCTATGTTTAAAAGCTCAGTTTAAATGTCTGATACTTTCCCAAATCTCTGTCAGAATCTTTTCTTCTATTTTTATAGCTTATTATGTACCTGTAGAGCTACTCACTCCTACTAAATATGTGACCATTAGAAGAAATACTTCCTATTCATATTTAGCATATCCTTGTGGATAATTCTTGTTTCTTATTAGTAACAGTACTAACAACACTGAGAAAAACAAAAACCAGGTACTACACCAGGCACAGTGATAAACGCATTACCTCATTTAATCCTCAAGAGAGCCCTAAAGCCATTTTACAGAAAAGGAAACTGAGGTTCAAGGAGAAGTAACTTGTCCAAGTTACTACGCTTGCTATAGACAGTAAGGAGCAGAATGAGCCTTCAAACCCAGTGTCTCTGCCTCCAAGGCATATACTCAACCACTTTGCTCAGAGCTTAGGCAGAATGATTACTATTATCATCAGCAGCACAATAGACTGAAGGTTGCTGTTCTCCTAAAATTCATATATTGAAATCCTAACCCCAGTGTGACGTAGTAGGAGGTGGGGCCTTTGGAGGTAACAGATCATGAGGGTTGAGCACTCATGAATGGAATTAGTGCCCTTATAAAACAGACCCCAGAGATCTTTCTTGCCCTCCTTCCACTATGTGAGGACACAAGGAGAAGTCAGCAGTCTGCACCCCGAAAGAGGGCCCTCGCCAGAACCTGACCAGGCTGGACCCTGGGCCAGCCTCCAGAACCGTGAGAAATATATTTCTGCTGTTTATAAGCACTCAGTCTGTGGTACTGTGTTAGAGCAGACCAGACTGACTAAAACAATTACCCATTTCTAAAAAATACAACTGTGTTTTACCAAAAGCTTTCAAATTATAGAAGCCATTAGAAGCGGAAGAAAAAAATTAAAAGCTTTGTTTTCATCATTAAAACTCTCCTATACATAATCTGTCACTTTTTAATCTGCCCTTCAATAGCTAATTAGCTCAACTCTAGACTGCTTGAGGGCACTTTCCTCTCACTGCTTCACTCCTCGATTTCATTGAGAGATCGAGCACACCGGGTGTCATCTGCCCCATTCCTCCTCCCCACCTTGACACCCACCCTGTGCCTCATAATGCTCCCTCCTGTGGTCTGAGAAACAGAGGTGGGAATCCCCTGGATCTTAAGGGATTTAGTCTTAACTTATTCATTCAAATATTTACTAAAAACACTTTTTTATTTATTTACTTTTTTTTGAGGAAGATTAGCCCTGAGCTAACATCTGCCACCAATCCTCCTTTTTTTTTGCTGAGGAAGACTGGCCCTGAGCTCACATTCGTACCCATCTTCCTCTACTTTGTATGTGGGACGCCGGCCACAGCACGGCTTGCCAAGCAGTGCCATGTCCGCACCCGGGATCCGAGCCAGCAAACCCAGGGCCACTGAAGCAGAGCGTGCGAACTTAACCGCTGTACCACCGGGCCGGTGCCTAAAAGCACTTTTAAGTATCAGGCACTGTGACCTGCCCTCTTACAGGAGAGGAAGGAAAACAGACAAGCAAGGAGGCCTCCTCAATCCTTCCCGGTCCTTTCTTTCACTGTTGTTGGTAATTATGGTATTAGTAATAACAACCAATCCAAATGCTTGGAGATTTCGACACACAAATAAGCAAAAAGGCAAAAATATTAGAATCATCTACAATTCTATCAGAGATGACTGTTGTCGGAGTTTTGACGTATATTCCCTTCTATTTTTTAAACAAGTTCAAGTTTACTCAAAATTTTTAAAGACCTTTTTCCGGTGATACTTAGAAAATATTCTTTCCCAACGTTGTAATAAAGACAGGCTTCCTCAGGATGAAAGCTGGTTTTGTGCGCTAAACAGATGATTTAGGGTCCCCACTAAGGATGTGCTCCTGGAAGGAAGGTACTTGGAGGGTCTTATTCTATATACCTAGCCCCTGATATTCAGTCAGAGCTCAATCAGTGCTCATGAAATGAAAGAATGAATGGATGAATCAGTGATGTACATTACTGAAATCCAACGAATCTTGACAGGGTTGTTTGCTCATAAATCAGGCACTGTTTGTGCTTAAGTTGTCAAGATATAGAAAGGATTCAAGGAAAAAATTAATTCCTAAAAGGAGAAAGCTACTTTATTCTTACTAGATAGGGGGAAAAAAACTCTGCAAAAAGGAAATAATAAAAACTACCATCTCATTTCATCCCATATAACATAATGGTCACAGTGTTAAGACAATTTAAAAAAACAATAATCCAACTCTAAAGTCGCGAGCTGTCCCGCAGAGGGCTATAGCCCAAGTCTCAAAAGCAGTTATACCTGAACGGAAGATAAGGGGCGGTTGAGCCAGATAGCAGTGCTCTGTAGGCTTCTTCTGGTGTCTTCTTTAAATAGATTACCTAAGACAGATAAACAACAACATTTAGAACACCAGCAAAAAATGACGCAAAACTAATTTAATTACTCACCAAGTTTGCATTTCACGTCTTCCACTTTGAGTGTCAACTGTCATGGCGATAATGTTGATCTTTAGACGGCAACCGAGCTGCCAAAATTTCCTTTTCAGCTTGAAGCTGAGCAGCAGCCTTTGACTTAAGCATGGGTAAGAGCTTAAAGACAGAGGGCAGAGCCATCAAGAGGCCGCCCAGGGCTGTCGACAAGGCACACTGCACAGATACAATGGCAGGGTTTTCCCTTCTGGGAACAGAACAATCATACCTCCATTACTGTACTCTGTGCTCAACAAAGATCAAGAGTCCTCCCTGTCCTACACAGAAGATCTGCCAGAGGTAATTCTGTGCCTGGTGAACTTTGAAAGAGACATCGCAGGGTGATGACAATACCCAGGGAGGGTCTACGAGCGCTCCCTCCGCCCTGAGGAAAGCCCACTCAATAATCCCAAGGAAATGAGCGGAAACGCCTGCAGGTGAGGGCGTTGGAACACACAGTGGCTTGGCTCTTGCTATCAAGGATACTTATAATTCCTCCAGTCCAGCATGATAAACTAATGTTAAACAAAGAAATAAACAAAAAAAAGAGCTCTTAAAACTAGTAAACTTCTAGTGAATCAACTTATTGACTATATAATATGTGCCCGGGTTCTATCAGGTACTGGTACCTATCTTAGAATTTACATTCTTATGGGAATGTAAATTCCTGGAAAAAGAATAGAACGGCTGCTTAAGGCAAGGTAGCCATGGAGGGGTCTCTGGGAGCCTTTAGGGTATCAAGATGCAAACAGTGAGAGCCGTGGGAAGAGCTGAGGGAAAGAGGAAGGGCTTTCTAGGCAGTAGGAAGAACAAGCGCCAGTTTTTGCTGGGGATAGAGAGCCTGGTGAGTTGGACAGAGAGGAGATCGGTGTCACTAGAACAGGAGAGAGAGGGAGAGCCAGGCAGTGGCCAGATTGTGAAGAGCAACACAAACCATGGAGTTTGGTTTTATTCCAAGTACAATTTACTATTTTAATTTTGAGCCAAGGGCACTGGTCCTTTTCCTCTATAGTTTGAATCGAATTTGATTCCTAAACCCTCTCTACCTAGAATTAGTGGCATTATTTTCTTAATATGTCCCAACATCAAAACACTATGCTTTTCAATGACAAGAATGAGAGTCTCAGTTCTTAAAAAGTAGTCTTCCTCTCTACTTACAAAGTTTCTTTGAGCATTACGCTTTTCCACTAGCAATATATTGCATTTAATTATTTAAAATTTCAAGTCTAGAAAACACCTCGATTCTAAATTCTCTAAAGAAAGAAAACTAAAATAAATACACAAAAGATACTACTAACTTTAATAAGAAAGGCTCATATTCATTTGACAAGTCAACATAAAGGTCTGATAAACCAACCAACCAAAGCGAACTGAACATGAAACAAAAACAGCACAGAAAATGAAACCACTGTGAAAGAATGCTCTAGACATGAAGCACTCATTCTACAAATGGAGAATCATGACCCTAGTTGCAGCTCAAACAATTAAAAAAATCCATTTAAACCAACCCTAGCTTGAAAGACCATTATCAGTAACCAATATTAAAACAGGATTTTGCTGCACCCTAATGAGTAGGTTATATAATATAAACAGAGTTGCTTATAATGCAGTGATTTCTCAAGCCTAAAAATGTAGCAGTATTTGAAAGTTGACTATGGCTGCTAAAAGGGAAAGCTGCTTGGAGAAAGCTTCTGAGTTTGGATTAGATAATTAAAGCTTATACAACAACCTTTGAAAAGCAAAAATACATTTCCCTTCTCAGGAGCAATTACATTAATTCCCTGTAATGCTGAGGCAGTCATTCTGCATGAGGGAGGCAACAGGCCACATCAAATACTTCTTTAGACTGCCTACCCCACGGGGTTTGCTACTCATCTTACCTGCATGACTTAGCACACATGACCCATGTTCTCACACTGTAAGATGAGAGTCTTTGTTTTTATTTTTATCCCAGTGCTAAATTATTAATAAGTGCAAAGTGAAACCCAACAAAGCCATCTAAATTCCCAGGAAGATTCCAGGAGCAGGTAAACGCAATGACCTTTCACAACCTCATGTCAGGCACTTGTAGAGTGGTGAAATGTAATAAATGAGTGTGTTACTGAACGCATGCACGCTAAGGTCATTAAAATATGTTCCATTTTTCTAGGAGAAAATATGTCATGAATTCTTATGATAGATCTTTTTAGATATGTCTCCTATTAAAAAGAGAGAGAGAAACTAGGTCTGATTAAAGCTCAGAAGGAAAACAATATTTATTTACTGCTGAGCAATCCAAAGCTCAGAAAGGTAGAGAACTTTCCAAACTCACATTGCTGCTCTGTGACAGGATTAGCCCACACTAATTCCATACATCACATCTGCTTAAAAATATAAATGCGGGCAAAAGCAGCACAATCTGGAAAAAAAGATTCCTACTCCTCCAAATTCCTAAATCCCATTACACTTGACTTTTAAAATTAAGTGACTTCAGGGCTGGCCCCATGGCCGAGTGGTTAAGTTTGTGCGCTCCCCTGTACGTGGCCCAGTGTTTCGTTGGTTCCAATCCTGGGCGTGGACATGGCACTGCTCATCAAACCATGCTGAGGCAGCGTCCCACATGCCACAACTAGAAGGACCCACAAGGAAGAATATACAACTATGTACTGGGGTGGCTTTGGGGAGAAAAAGGAAAAAAAAATAAAATCTTTAAAAAAAATAAAATTAAGTGACTTCAAACTGTTAAAGGGAGGAAAGAGTACTAATTATATTTTCTACTCTCTCTACATTTCCTGTATTTTGTAAAGATGTGTATTAATTTGTTTTTTTGAGGAAGATTAGCCCTGAGCTAACATCTGCGCCAATTTTCCTCCACTTTACACGTGGGTCGCTGCCACAGCATGGTTGACGAGTGACGGAGGCTCACACCAGGGGACCTGAACCCGTGAACCCAGGCCACCAAAGCAGAGTACACCGAACTTAACCATTATGCCACCAAGCCAGCCTCGTAATTTGTTTTTCAAATGTGGAGTAACTAAATCAGTTATGAAATATTAAATGTGTACTCTTTCCAAAAATAAAATCTATATTTAATTAATACTCAAAAATGTATTACTATATATTCTAATATTTCTAAAAATATTTTCTAAATAAAATTAACTTCAAAGCATCTTCTAAATATCCTGATTTCCCTTTTCTGATTCTCAGGGGAAAAAAAATACGCTACTTTTCTCACTAGATATTAGCACATATGAACCCAAACCAAAAGAATCTTCCCAAACTTTGATTGATAAAATGTAACAAAGCCCCGTGCATAGTGCTTGGTGTACCATGCCAATTTATCCCTGGAATAGTGAGTACATGCATTACTTTTATAAAATTGCACTATTCTTGCCAGGAAGTCTTAGAAACCTTCTCAATAGAAAAGCATTTGATATATACTTTCTTATTTTTAATTGTCTAGGAGTCAACCAAAGTGATTTTTTTCTGCTTAATTAACTTTGATGCCAGATACCAAAGACCCAAATAAGTCAATTTCTCTAAGAAAAGATTCTTAAAAAGCCAGCATTCTAACTTATATATATATAACCAATAGCTATGAGGTTTTTATTTAACAGCATAATTAAAATTACAGTACTACAAGCTAGCATAATATATGTTGTTTCCCAATAAACCAACGTTTGCCAAACTTCAATTAATCGTGCATCAACTTTCCCACTTCTGCCACCACATGTAGCACCACATACTACCACTTCTCTTTAAAGAGACATACATACTCTTTTAACTTAAATCAACTTATTCTAAAGTGTTTTACATCATTGCTACCAATGGAAAATCATGTCACTTGCCATAGAGGCTACACATAAATGAATATTAAAATATATAATCTTAAAATTTAAAAATGCTTGTGCACACCACTCACTGAGAAAGAATGTAATAAATATCAAGTTTGGACTAATTTTATAGAAGAACAGCAGATCAACCTAGTAAGTTAAATAAAATCCTCTTAGAATTAATCTGCAAATACTTCTAAATCATTTCTTTAAACTAAATACTATGGTTGTTAAATCCTTAAAGCCCGTCAAAAAATAATATATGTGAATTTCAGAAGCATTTTGGAATTTACAATTATATTTCTCTACTCAGTTAACTTAATCTCTCTGATACACAAGGGGTAATTCTTAAAACAACAAATGGCTTAATATAGTAGTCTAAACCAGACTTCGAGTCACGAATTTGCTAACGGTCTTTCCCTGGGGACGTCAGCCTCAGATCTTACTATGTTTTTAGTTTTATTTTTAGGTGCTATTACTTCCCCCAAAAAAAGGCTCACTGCAAAGAGCAACACACACACACACACATATCCCTAATATTTAAAAATGAAACCTGTGCTGCTAGGTTAATTATATCTATATTTTACGATCTGGAAAGTGGAAATACTCTTGAGGATTTGATTTGGCCATCCAAGAGAATATTCTCGAGTTCTGGCATTTAATTTCCTGTAATTTGTTTAATATTTTATTTGTTTATAAAAGAGGAAACAAATGCTGAGAACAGCCTTTCCCAGTCAGGTACTACCAGCAGAACGCTGACATGTTAGCTGTGAAATCAGCATTCCAATCATTTCTGAGTCAATTAAATTTCTTCGAAATAGAAGTTTCCAGAAAACAGATGTTATAACTTAAAAACAGCCTAGAAGCACTAAGATTTACCAAATATAGAAGACTTACATCAAAAAGGAGAGACTCTTTAAAAGTTTCAGACAACTAGGTTTAGCATATGTACAGAGTTCTAAATGCGGACATTATAAAGATGTCCCTATGGTATGTGCTCTGGGTTCTAGTCCATTAATTAGCAGTCATGCTTGTGCTCCTTTGCCCAGCCCCATATCACTTAAAATTATTATGCTTGTAAGACAAGAGTTAAGGATG